CATTTTTTACAAGATCCAATTTTTTACAACCTTTTTACAACCTTTTCAATTTCTCATTTTGGAATACCCAGTCATTTTACTTTAGGACAAAAACTACCCTTTTTTTTTTCTTTTAAACTATAACATATCTTTATGTAAGCTTCACTTACCAAAACGCATCTTACTTTCCTCACATAAGATGTGATTTTAGGGCTGATCAGCTGAGTTGGTTGTAGCATGGTGCTGATATCCTCAAGGTCCAGGGTTTGATCCCTATACCAGGCAGCCACCGAGGAAAAAAAGTGGTTTTAATTACCATTCATTAATTGGAATAACTTTAACTCTAATAACCTAGTGAAAACCTGGGAAGTAAGCAGTTTTGAACTATGTTATATCAGCATTTTGTAGATGAAAACCCCTTCATAATTTTTAGAAACACATTTCCTAATAACACAATTGTATTAGTCTGTTTCTGTGTTTATAACAAAAATACCTGGAACTGAGTATAAAGAAACGAGAATTTATTGCTTAGTTTTGGAGGCTGAGAAGCCCAAAGTCCAGGGAACATATCTGGTGAAGGCCTTGGTGGTGGCAACAGTGACCCAGGGGTCTCATGTGGCAGAAACGACTGAGGGGAGAGAGGGAGGGAGGGAGGGAGGGGGAGATATACATACATACATACATACATACATACATACATATATATATATATATATATAGAGAGAGAGAGAGAGAGAGAGAGAGAGGAGAGAGAGAGGAGAGAGAGAGGAGAGGAGAGGAGAGAGACTCTCACATGCTTTCCCTTTAAAACCCTCAGAACCACACCCATGAACTAAGGCATGTTCCTCCTAATAATCTAATCACCTCTTCAAGGCCCCACCTTTCAATTATCATAATAGGATTTTCCACCCTCTTTACAGTCACCGTGGGGATCAAGCTTCTAATACATAAAGCTTGGAGGACAAAATTCTGTCCATAGCAACAATTTTTCTGTGTTTATTAACAGATGCAAATATATTAGCTTCTCTATGCCATATAAAAACAAGATGTTATAGTATATATACCCTAAACCTATATTTAGCAATTAATATTTTAGTATTTTAACCTTCTTAGAGATGACTCAGTTCATGAGTGTTTATTACTTAATTTAAAGTGACTTTAAAGTTTTCAAGGTATTAAAAAATAATTTTGAAACTATCACAAGTTCATCTGTAAACTTTATCCTGTTTTAGTAAGGGGTTGAGTAGAGGGACCCTTGCCCTTTCATTTTTTTTTTATTGACCCATCTGATTATTGCCCTAAATGACTGTTAGCTAGTTTGCATGTTGTAATTTCTGCCTTCTGCCTTTTAAAGTTTTTCCAAACTGGGGTAAATAGAGCAGACAGGTTTGGGACCCTGTAATTTTGGGGGACCAGCCAGGGTCCCTCTGCCATCTGACCTTTGGTAGATTTAGTCTCTGTTCTTACCCTATCACTGTCTGCTGTTACCTATCCAATTTTTAATAACCATGTAAATTTTTTTATCCTAAATTTGCATTTCCAAAGGGATGGCTTAAGTATAACAAGGTAGAATATTTTTATCTCAAAAGCTCAGAGCTGAGACTTTAGGCCTAAATACCTGAATCATAAACCACATTTGCCCAAACCAAGGAAGTACAATATAAGTAAACTGCAAGTAAAGACAGGATAGCCAGAAAAGCACCTTAAGCAAAAGGCTTGTTATGTAAATTTAAAGCAATGCCTTTTCCATCATAAGAGTTTCTAGTGACTCAGTTCTCCCTCTCTTCCTGGTTCAGGAGGCAGACACCCATACAAATGGAGACTTTCTTTACAGATGGAAATTTCCTTTCCTTTCCTTTCCTTTCCTTTTTCCTTTCTCCTTTCCTTTCCTTTTCATTTTTCCTTTTTCCCTTCTCTTCCCTTCCCTTCCCTTCCGTGTATTTTGGAGACCTATTTAGTTTAACAGATGGTCTTTTTAACTTAGCTTTTGTTTCTTAGCTTAAGCTTTTTGTTTGCATTTTGTAAAGTATTTTTAAAGAGAAAATAAACATTTTGTAACTTTTTGGAAACTTCTACACATCAATGGGCCTCCCTGGATATGCCTAATTGGGGAGCCCTTATTTTTAAGTGCACTGTTATTCCTTTGGAACTCCCCACTGTAATTTTAAATTATCTTTAGTAAGATTTCTCCACTTTTGAATGCAATTTCTACTTCCTGGGCCTAAAACTTATACATGTAAAGGTAGGCATAGTGAGAAGGTGAGGTACTCAGTTCTTGAGGAGTTAAGGATCCCATTTTTACATTGAATTTTGGCTTTGGCTCTGAGATCTCCTTGATCAACTTGGCCAAAGATTTTTTTCCTACCTAGGCATGCAAAAGAAAGAAATGAAGAGGATGGAGCACAAAATCCTTGTGAATTTCCAAAAGAAGGGATTCCAGTCCAGATAGAAATTTGCTCAAAGAAACTTAGCTCAAATTATAAATCTGTGAAACTTCAGAATCTGAGAGAGAACTTACCCATGATCTCCAGTTGCTGTGAGAGAGCAACAGATGCCATGGGTCCTGTGAGCACTTCACTTGGTCAGTCAGTGCTTCTGGGGGCGGCTGGAAGCTCTACTTAGGATCCCACTTCTGACACCATCTGTTAAAACCTTCAGACAAATTAAATCTAACAGTTTAATTGAGCAAACAGCAATTAACAAATTGGGCAGCCCCCAGAATTAGAACAGTTTCAGAGTAACTCCACTGCTTCCACTTGGTGGGTTAAGATCTATAGACAGATAAAGGGAGTGAGGTATGGAGCAGGTGCTGCCTGTGATTGGCTGAGACTCAGCTCCTTGTTACAAGAGTGCATTAGTCTGTTTACACATCCAGTTAGGTTACAGTTCACTGTGTCCGAAGAAACATTTAGGCCAAGCTTAATTTAACAATGTGAAGCAGCACAAGTGAAGAATCTGGACTGTTCTCTCTCACTGTCCACAGTGATATTTAGCCAAGACCCATTGGTTCTGTCTCCTAAGCATCTCTCCAGTCAGCTCCTGCTCACATCCCTCTGGACACAGTCCCAGTAGGGCTGTCAGCATCTCTTACCAGTGCTGTTACAGGTGCCTATTAGCTGGTCCCCAGTGTCTTCTGTCATCCCCTTTTCAGCCCATTCTCAGTGCTTTTGACAAAGTTACCTCTTCGGTGTCCTTAGCTGTTGCTTAAAACCCTTCCTTGACTTCTTTCCATTATTGAAAATTCAACTTAAACATTTGATCTTTCTTTTCTCCCCTCTTAGTATTGATTCTTTGCAAGGAAATTAAAATGTGAACATGACTAATGAGTACAAATTAATACACAGTTTCCATTGAGCAGAAAACTTGAGTTCTGTTCTGTGTAAGGTCTGCTGTTTCTGCTGCTACTGCTGGGTTATGCAGGCATTGAGTTGGCCGTTCTTTCTCCTTATCTATCATCCCTCTGTCATTTATGTATTCATTCCTCAAATATGTTTTGAAAAGTGAATATGTTCCAGATGATTCTGGAGGTTGAGGGGAATTCAGAGATGAATCAGACACTGCCTCGAGGAGCTTATCATCCAGCACAGCCAAAAATGATGATAACACTAGTGACAGTCACCAGTATTTATTAAGCACTTGTAATATGCCACCAGCGTCCTTCTGAGAGTTTTGCGGGCATAATTTAAGTTTACTCACAGTCCTTCCTTCTACAGATATGTGTGTACTTGTCGTGTGCTAGGTACTCTATTAGGTGCTGAGGATATCAATCCTACATGACACTCACTTTCCCACAGGGTGCTTACACCTGATGTGGGAGACAGACAGGCTAGCAGAAGTGGTAGCAATATATAAGAAGTTTCATGGTGGGCAGTGTGGAAACAGAGAAAGGGCATTTGGCCCACTTTCTTAGTCTGCCCAGGCTGCTGCAGCAAAATACCATAGATTGGGTGGTGTAAACAACAGAAATTTATTTTCTTATAGTTCTGGAGGCTGGAAGTTCAAGATCAGGTTACCAGCATAGTTGGGTTCTGGTGAGGGCTCTCTTCCAGCTTGTAGATGGCTGCCTTCTCATTGCATCTTCACATGGTGGGGACAGAGTGAGATCTCTTTCTCGCTCCCTTCCTCCTCTGGTAAGGCCACCAGTTCTATCAGATTGGAGCTCCACCCTTATGATCTCATTTAACCTTAATTACCTCCTAAAAGCCCTGTCTCCAAATACAGTCAAATTGGGGTTATGTTCAACACATGAATTGTCGGGGGACACAGTTCAGTCCAGAGCACCCAACTATGTGCCTCTGGGAGGGCTTGCTGGAGGAGGTGTCAGTATGTTAGATCCTAAAAGATGAGAGAATTTATCTAGGCAGAAGCAGGAGGTGAGTAGATGAACAGGAAGCCTGCTAGAAGGAACAGCAGTGAAGACCCTGAGGTAACAGAGAATGTGGTATATTTGGGAAACTAAAGATAACACCAGTGTAAGCATTAGTGTGTCTCAGAGTGAGGGCAACACAATTACAAGGACAGGTGTAAATTACTAGGAAGATTCCAAGGATGGCCTGGAGGAGAGGGGCCTTTGGTTGGATCTCGAATGTTCAGAAGGTTTGTACATGTGATGCCAGCAAGGAGAAGGATACTGCAGACTCAAGAGGACTTTAACAGAAAGGTATGGACACAAGAGACGAGGGACCTCTGTGGGCAGGAGTCCTTTGTGGCAATGCTGCAGAAGGAGGACAGGGCTCGCCCGGCAAGAGCGTGGCAAGGAGTGGACGCCACTGGGTCTGCATGGCGTCCTGTCCACATCCATCATTCTGGGAATGGTCATCGTAAACACCAAACTCTCAGTCACTTCAGTGTAAAACTTCTCATTGAGTTTTCACGGCCCAAGTCTTAGAGTTTTTTTCTTAAGGGGCAGACATCCCTTTTTCATTAAATTATTTGGTTATTAAGTAATGCAATGAGGTGTTCTTGAGCACACAGGCAAATATCAGATGAGGTCCTTTTACCCTTGTTTGTGTTTTTCACAGATTATGACTCGGATGCCATGAGCAGCTCATATGAGTCATATGACGAAGAGGAGGAGGACGGGAAGGGGAAGAAGGCCCGTCACCAATGGCCCTCTGAGGAGGCCTCCATGGACCTGGTGAAGGATGCCAAGATTTGTGCCTTCCTGCTGCGGAAAAAGCGCTTTGGCCAGTGGACAAAGCTGCTCTGCGTCATCAAGGACACCAAACTCCTGGTAAAGCATTGCGAATAAGTAGTGATCTTGTAAAATTGTTAAGATTTTGTTGGCATTCTAAAGCGATGGAATTTATACCAAACCAGTTAAGGTTAACATCAGCCACGCAGGAGGGAATCATGCAGACCTGCACGAGGTCCCGTGAGTGTGCATCTCGTTTAAGTGCTGGAGTCCATGGCCGTCCGTGAGCGGCCCCGTGGCCTCCTGTGTTCAATGCCCTGGGTCTCCCAGCTCCTAAAGCAACCCATGGACAAATTCATTCCCATTCCAGGGCATTGCCTGTGGCTTGTGTCAGTGGAAATGCATAGTATTTTAACTTGCCAGAAGTTGCAAGATGGATTTTCTCATTTGTAGTGAGTCAGTGAATTCCTCAGAGCCAGGTCATAGGAGTGGGCTGGGTAGGCCTTACGAGGTTTGGAGGGGAGAGTGGCCAGGAAAGGAAATTCTTTTGGAAAGCTTAAGGCCAAATTCTTTTTTTCTTTTTTTATCCCAGAAGCAGAACAGGAAGATAAGTAAATAACAGAGAGGCAGAGGACGGGAAAACACAGACCCTTTGTTGTAGGTGCTATTCCAATGGGGTCTCTGTTAAGGAAGCAGGGGCCTCTGAGAATGGTGTGATGTGTCCTGCCTCCCTCACTTCTCTTGTCCTTCTCCTTCCTTCCTTTAGAAACTGTGTGTGATGGCTGGCCGGTTGGTGAGAGCACAGTGCTATAACAGCAAGGTCAAAGGGTTTGGATCCCCCGAACTGGCAAGCTAAAATAGAAACCACGCTTGATTATCAGAATTATGAACTTTAGAGTAAATTTTTACCTTTTGTTTTTCCTTCAAATTAACCTTGGGGGAGAAAATTGCTCAAAATTTTATCGTTAAAACAGAAGACATGAGATTTATGTTTCTGTGTATTATTCTGTATTGGAGCAGATGATTCTTTTTGTTTTTAAACCAAGTTTCATCTAAGGCTTGCGGGAATCTCATTTTACTAGATTCTTAGGACATTGTACATTTTTTAATTAATGTTTTTGTTCTTTTTTTTTTTAAACAGAGTACATATTTTTTCCACATGTGTGGCCTGAATTTCTCCTAAATTTAGAATATGCCAAAAATTATGGCATAGGGAATTTAAGAGTAAAGAATAAAAAAAAAATAATAAAAAGAAAGATTAATATGGTCCTTATTTACAATTTGATATAATGACTGCAAGATGTGGATATATTATATAAAAGTCTTAAAAGTACGAAATCAACTCTCTTATAAAAGCGTAGTTTCATAGCAATGAGGGAAGCCTCGTGGTTGTATGTGGGGTTGGCAATTGGGGCTACAAGTCCCCTGGCCCTCTTCTCCCATCTTATCTCCCTCACCCCTCTGCTTCTCTTCTTTTCCCATCCTCTACTTTTTTTCCCATTTGATCTTCTACTAGTTTTTCCCTCTAAAACCCAGGATGATAATACCTCCCATTTAGAGTAGTTGTAAATATTTAGGAAGAAATTAATGGAAAATCAGGTGAAAGCCCTGTCCTCAATAAAGGTAGTTATTTGTATCTTGAAGCTTTTTTTCTGTTCAAAAATGACCTGGGATCCAGCTGCCCAGATGAGCACTGTGATGCAATGATGTCCTCCCTCAGGACTGAAGGACTTGTTCCCTTGCTTGCAGGGAGGGCTGCTAAGTCCACTGAGGGGATTGTCCCTGTTGAAGAGAGACCTTGAGCCCAAGGCCATGCTCCCTTCCCAAACACATGGTCTACATCCAGTGCCAGGGCATAACAGCCTAGACTTGAGGCAGCTCCGATGGGGCCTTCCAACTCCAGAACTCCTGGGGGTCCCCAGGGCCTTTTACTTGAATGGCATTGTAGTTCAGCTTTTTTGCCCAGTCCCCCACCTCTTCCACCCCTGGTGCTGTTCTTAAGGGCACACCTTAATAAATACCCTGCATGCTGCTCTTTGTTTTAGAGGCAGCTTCCATGGGAATCCAACCTGCTAGATTACAGTTTGTCATGTTGCTGATAACGTGTCTGTTGTAAAGCATTTAAGCAAGGAAAAATATAAGCTGAAAGTTCCCTTTCTGATCCCTTCCACTGCACTGTTAGTTTCCTTTTAGCTTTTTTTTTGTACTTATTCAAAATGCAAAAAGCTGGTCAATGATAAACATTTATAACAATCTGAGGTTGGTTGGTTTTGGAGTATTCTTTTCTTTTTAGACAGGCAACCATCAGTTGAACTTTTTAAAAAAAATGGATATGTTATTTATCTGTGCAATTCAAGAGTCATGGATTTAGAACTAAAGTAGAAAAGGACTCTAGAAATCATTTTTGAAAATAGGTATCTAGGGCCGGCCCGGTGGCGCACCGGAGAGTGTGCCGCTTGAGAGTGCGGTGGCGCTCCCGCCGAGGGTTCGGATCCCATGTGGAGACTGGTTCCCACTCACTGGCTGAGCGCAGTGCGGGTGCAACAACGAGGGTTGCGATCCCGTTACCGGTCAGTAAAAAAGACAAAAAGGAAAAAAAAAAAAAAAGAAAATAGGTATCTATTCACTCATGTCATCAGTAAATGGCTTAGAGTTAACAATGTAGGCTCTGCACTCATACAGTTTGGGCTGGAGTTCTAGGTCTCCCACGTGAGGTTTTCTGACTTTGGGCAAGTTCCCTAACCAACTGAACCTCAGTTTCATAATCTGCAAAATGGACAGCTGTGGTGATTAAATGAGAAGGATGAAATGCCTTGTATGATGTCGACAGTCAGTACTTGTAGCAGATGTTGCTACTAATAACAATATAATTTCATAAAATAAAAATAGCAGCAAAACATTTTACAAATGAGGAAGTGCACTCAGAAAGCTTAAGAAACTTCCTGGGACCCAGATTAAATTAGTAATAGAGTTAGGATCCAGGTATCTGACTTCTTAGATTGCGTATTTCCACTAAGAGGTATGTATGCTTTTGGTCCCAGGTCATACTATTAAAGAAAAAGGGGCAGGGGAAACCTGTGGGCAAAGATTTGATTCTAAGTTTTATAGGTAGTTCCCAGTACTAGCCAGTCGCCAAAAAAAAAAAAGGTACTGGAGTATTATAGGTGGAGATTAAGCCAGAGCAATGTGAATGAAATGCTGGTTTTAATCTTACCAGTTGCAGTCTTTAGAGTGAGTGTCAGCTTATGGGAATGGGGCATCATGAGTATTGGATCTTCTAGTCAAACAGGAAGCAGATCTTTGCGTACATTTTTGTACTTTGTGTCATGATATTTATATCCTTAATAAAATAATTCATCTGTCATTTAGAAAGGGAATAGAGATGAGATAGGCAGATATCAAGCCATATAGGTTATAGAATAAAGTGTCCAAATTACATGTAAGTATGTTTAATATGTTTTTATTTTCATAAATGCATTCATGTAATTTATTGAGGTTGCTCCACTAGAACATAAACTTCATCAGAGTAGGGCCTTTTGTTTCCTGCCAAATCATGGAATGTTCTCGGTAAGCTTTTGCTACGTTCAGGAGTCAAGTATTTCCTGTGCTTGGAGGTGAAGTGTCATGGTGAAGCAGTGCTTCGGGGGTGATCCCTGTTAGTTTGCACGTCCATTTCCCATTGCTGAGCATTTCCACTCTTCGGTTAGACCTTCAGGTGCCTTGCCACCCTCTCTTCAGGCTGGAGTTTTATCAGTGTCTCTGTTTGAACTTACTTATAATACAAATTGATCTGTCATGTTGAATGCAGTGCTATAAAAGTTCCAAGGACCAGCAGCCTCAGATGGAACTGCCACTCCAAGGCTGCAACATTACATATATCCCGAAAGACAGCAAAAAGAAGAAACATGAGTTGAAAATTACTCAGCAAGGCACAGACCCACTTGTCCTGGCAGTCCAGAGTAAGGAGCAGGCCGAGCAGTGGCTAAAGGTAAGTTGTCTGTTACGTTTCCCAGCCATCATCACTTCCAAACTTCCTTCTGAGATCTATTTTTATTTTAATTTGTATTTTTTCAAGCATAGACAACATGGGTTAACTCAAATAGTTTTGTCTTTGGTAACTGAATATTCTGATTACTTTGAGGTTAATCAGAAATGCGTTTCACTTTAGCTCTCGTCTGTCTCCCTTTTGCAAGCTGCTTCTGGGACTTTCTCTTTTACTTTTATTTTCTACAGTCTCACTTTATTGTGTATAGATGTGGATTCTTTTTTATTTATTCTGCTTGGGATTTGCTGGGCTTCTTATATTTATGGATTGTCATCTTTCTAGGTTTTGGAAAAAATTTTCAGCCGTTTTTAAAAAATACAGCTTTGCCCCACTTGCCTCCCTTCCTGGTCCTTGGTTTAAGTACATGTTAGACTTCCTCACTGTGATTTACTCCTTATCTTCTCTTTGTATTTACTCTCCTTTTCTCTCTCTCTCTTTTTTTTTTTAGTCTGGTTTATTTTTTCTTTTTATTTTCCAGCTTACTGTTTCTCTCCTTGGCAGTTTCTAATCTGCTGTTAAATTGGTTCTTATTCACTGCGTTCTTAATTTTAGTTGTAGCAGTAGTTTTCAATTCTAGTTGTTTCCTTTTCAAACTGGGAATATCACTTCTGTGGTTTAAATTTGTTTTAGAAGTGTTCGTTTGGCTTCTACCTCCACAAGCATGGTAAGCGTGGTGGCACTGGTCGTGGGTTTGGTGGGGTTTGGACCTGGTTCTGCTCAGTGGCTAATGGTTGTTCGTGTCACTTTGTTTTCTTGAGTGCCAGGTTATCTGATGTCTGTGCTCGTCATTATATTTGGGGAAAAATTATTGAAATAATCTTTATAACTTTATTGAGGTGTAATTCACATGCCATGAATTTACCTTTCTAAATTACAGTTCAGTTGTTTTTGTCATACATTCACAGAGTTGTGCAACCATCACCATAATCTAAGTTTAGAACTTCCTCGTCACCCCAAAGAGAACGCCATACCTGGCAGCAGTCACTGCCATTTGCCTCGCCCCGCCCCACCCCAGTCCTAGGCAGACACCAACCTGCCTCTGTCTCTGCAGATTGGCCTCTTCTCGATGTTTCCTAGGAAAGGGTGCCTACAGTATGTGGCCTTTCAGGACTGGCTCCTTTCACTCAGCCTCATGCTTCCAGGTTCATGCAGGCTGCAGGAGGCATCCACACTTCCATTCCTTTCCATACCTCCTGTGTCGCATGTAAGAAGCCGTTGCTGAGTTTAAGGTTCTGAAGACTTATACCTGTGTTTTTTCCTGAGATGTTTATAGTGTTAGCTCTTAAGTTTAGGTTTGATCCATTTTGATTTAATTTTTGTATAAAGTGTGAAGTAGGGGTCTGACATCATTCTTTCTCATGTGCATGTCCAGTGGCCCCTACAGAAATAATTAGATTCTTAGGACTGTGCTTTCTTCTATCAGAGGACATTTTCATTTGTCTCTGCCCCCGTGCTTGGGGGCATCAGCTCTCCAAATCAGTTTAATCTAATTTCAGGGCTTGAGATTTTCAGAGCCACACAGATGACTGGAAGTCAGCCTGCAGTCCATTCAAGGGCAGGTTTATATTTATTTCATTCTTACTCCAAGGTACCTTCCTTTGGGGTCCTCATCCTGGTTGTGGTGCATGCCTCATCCTCGGCATGCCGTGGACTCCAGGTTTGGATCCCTTGTCCCACAGAGCCATCAGAGCTGCTACCTGGCCTCTCAGCTGCGTCCTCTGGGGTGACAAAGGCATCCTGGCTGCCCTGCTACCTTTCTGGATTTCCACCTTTTTTGCATCTCAGCCCAGTCATGCCTCCCTATCACAGTACCTCCTTCATGCTTTAGGAAGATGCTCTGTGTATTTTATCTTGCTTTCCAAATTGTCTCCTTCAGGAAGATTGGTCCAAACCAGCTAGTCCCTCATTTCCTGCTTTTCCAAAACCTGTTGTGGAAAAGGGATATGTGGGGAAGGTGCGGAAACCTGGCAAACATTTTATAACAGTGGCTGTTATAATTTGCTAGTCTCTATGAAACCTTGAGGCTCATTTTATCCCTGAGAAAGTATCAGCTTCATGATGTGGACTCCATGGTGATAGCAGTGATAGCTTCTGACAGCTGCTCAGAACACAGAGATGGTGTCTTTTTTTACTTTGTTGGTAGTGCTTATGGCTTTTCTCCTATTGGTAACATATAATATAAGAGATTAAAAAGAGCATTTTTTTTCTCTTTTAAGGGATCCTCCTGGAAGTCCTATGATCAGAAATTCCTGCTGTCGAGCTTACTTTGCCTTCTAGACACAGAACTTTAATATGTTACATATCAACCACCACTGTTACAGATATCTTTAAATCCCTTTAAAGTTTACTTTTCCACCATCATTATCTCTTAATCCTCAAAACAGTCATCCTAGAAAGATGTTTAATTAGGAGTTTCATTTGACAGATGAGAGACTGAGTCTCAGGCAGGTGAAATGATACCACGGTCAACAAGTGATGGAGCTGGGGGTCAGCATCAGGTTTTTCTGGCTTCACACTTCCTTGTCATTGTGCTGGGCTGTCTGACGGTTTGCTGTTTTCTCTTCTACCCCTAACTACTTCTTCTTTTTTTTTTAAAAGATGACCGGTAAGGGGATCTTGACCCTTGTCTTGGTGTTGTCAGCACCACGCTCACCACCGTGATCTAACCGGCCATCCCTGTATAGGGATCCGAACCCGGGGCCTTGGTGTTGTCAGCACCGCACTCTCCCGAGTGAGCCACGGGCCGGCCCTATCCCTCACTACTGTTGTCTAGTAAGCAGGGGACAACAGTTACAAAGCAAGTGAGCTGCCTCCCTGATGATTCTGTCTCCTTCACCTGGTCTCACCACTCTTGGTTACCATCCTTCTGCATTGTGTGTTTAACTGTTCCTTAGTGGAGAACCAAGAAAGGCCACTCTGAAACTTAAGTGTTCTTCTTTTCCTCTGTTTATATAGTTTGTGAACTATCTCATACATACTAAAGAATCCTCCTTTCTTCCTGATATTGGTCTGACATGAAGTCATCTGGATAGTCACTGGGAAATAGCACGGAGCTGACAAATAGACAAAAACAATTTCAAGATGTCAGATGCTGGGGGGGTGAAATAAAAGTGCATCTTGTTTCACCAGATGTGAGATACTGATCAGAGGCACTGCACTAATTATAGAACGATGACTGCATTTATGGATGGAAGGTAATCGCAAGAATTTTTTTTAGCATTTGCTCATTTTTCTTAAAAGGGAAATAAATCATACAGGGTAAATTATCTTTTTGTAAAGAGTTTAAATTAGTTAATTACTCTATTTAATGTTTGTGCTGCTATTTCCATTACATATGATCGTGCAAGAACCTAAGAAGTCTTGATTACAAATAAAAGTCAGATGACAAAACTAGTTTCAGTCATTCAGTTATAGAATTTTAGTTATTTAGGCCAGAAGAGACGGTGTAGTTTAGTTTCTTCCAGATGCTATCATTAGATCAGCTACCTTATCAGAATCACCCGGAGATTTTAAACACATAGAATCCCAATAATTGATTTATTAGAGACCTGAGAATCTTTTTTTTTTCTTTTTTTCTTTTTGTATCTTTCATATCTTTTTAAGGTCTAAAATGCTACAGGTAAAATTGAGACATGCCTCCCCTATTTAGTTCTCTCTCCCTCCTCAAAGGTAATTGTTATCTTGAATTTGGTCTTCATTAATATCTGGGTATGCTTTTTAACAAATACTTTCACTTATATATGTATGTACCCATGAACGATAAATGATACTGTTTTTCGTGTTTTAAAAATCCCACGTTCGTGGCTTTGAGCTCCACATATCTCACAGGGGCTTTTTTCACTCAGAATTGCTTTACGTCGTTCGCATGTGGATTTTCTGCACCTCGTTTTTTTGTTGTTTTTTGGGTTTTTTTGCCTGAACAAAGTATCTTGAGATTTTTGCAATTTAGAGAGTAGAGCAATTCCTCTTTCTTTTTAGTATTTCATAGCAATTTATTGTCTAAATAGACCATACTTAAAAAAAAATCTGTCCCTCATTCATTTGTTTTTAATATTTTGATGTGACAGACAATTCTATAATAACCCTATGCATATATCATTTCACACTTTTGCTACTCTGTAGGCTAAATTCCCAGAAAGAGTAATTGCCTGCATGAAGGTATAAGCGATTGTTATTTTGACATGTAGCCAATTCAGTCTTCGTAGGAGGCTTACCAATTCCCCCACCAGTGGTGTGCCAGAGCTGCCTTTTCCTCCTGCAGTCTTACCAACAGGGTATGCGAGCAAACTTTTATGTTTTTGCCAGGGGAAGGATGGTGTCTCAGTCTGGTTTTAATCTGCATTTCTCTTATTATGAATGACATTGAGTATCTTTTTATAGGGTTTAAGAGCCTACCATTACATTACTGTTTCTGTGAACTATTTGTTTATATCCTTTGCCATTTTTGTCTGTATTCTTTTCTTCGAAATCTATTGTTTCCAGATGACGTAAGCAAAACCAGGCTTGGTAGTCGCTACTCTTGTTCAGCCTGCTCACTTCCTTTTAATAGGAGGCCTCACTGAAGAGGTAGGATTTAGGAGCAAATGAGTATTTTTGTAGTCAGTTAGACAATTAAGGTAAATGGCATTCCAAAGCCATTTTGAGTAAATTTTTATTTGAGTTTTTATAATTGCATCTGAAATTCAGTGTAAGAAATATAGGAGAGCCAGGAAAAAGATGTGAGAGCCAGTATCATGTCCTAGAGCAGAGAGGGGATCAGAATCTTTGGACTGTGGTCTGGGCCCCGCCATTCCTAGCTGTGTGTTTTGGATAAGCTACATAACTTCTCAGTGCCTCTGTTTTCTCATCTGTAAATAGGGATAATGAAAGTATCTGCTTTCTAGAGTTGTGAGGATGAAATAATGCTAAAATATGAGGCATTTGGAGTAGTACCCAATATGCAG